ACTTATTTTTTCAAAAATATTGTAAGGTTAAATTCTCTTATTCTAAAACATTAATAAATTAATTAATTAACAAACAATATGAATTTGAAAGAATTCATGAACAAATATCACCAATGAGCCATTATGATAATTTAAATCAGAAAAATTAATCTCTACATTAATCTCATCTCTACAAATAGAATTACAAATACAAATGTTGCCAAATGCCAAAAATCTTTTCAGAAATGATTGAAAAATTAATCTCAGAAAATGTCAGAGCTTGAAATATAGTAAATCAGAAGATGCAGATGAAAAGCTAACCTGAAATGAGAAGAAAAGGAAGAAATCAGAGAAAAGAAAGATCCAAGGAAAATTAAATTATAGTACCAGAAGATTGTAGAGGAATGACAAACAATTTCAAAGTTACAACTGATTAAATAAATTAAATTATTGGTTTTCAAATTCTGTTAGTAGAAATTTTCATAAAACTGAACTATTAATTCTTAGAAAATCAGTAATTCAAATTTCTAAGAATTAGTAATTGCCTCCCTTTTTTAATTCTTGACAATTATTATAATTTAAGCAGCATAATAAGATAGGCTATCTAAAATAAAATGAAATTTCATAATGATTATCTGTTATTAATTCATGATTTTTACATAAAGTCTTATTTGTTTGAACTTTAACAAGTTTAATTGTTTAACAAGTTATGCTATTCTACTATACTATATTATGATTTTAAATCATAATATTATAGTAACTAAAATAGAAAAGTTAATATTGTAGTTTACACAACAATTATTATTATTTGTTTTTGTCATCTACATGAAAATTATTTATTATTCAAATTATATCAGTTTAATTTTTATGCAACAAATAAAGTGTATTTTTTATAATAAAACTAACTTAAAAGTAAGAAGTATTAAAATAATCATAAATTACAAAATTAAATTTTGGTATATATTATTCATTATACACTACAAAAAGAGAAAATTTACAATTTAAGCAAAAATAAGTCTGAAAAATCTGTCATATTGATAACATTACCAATATCATTAATGAAAACTTGCGGCTATAGAAATTAATAATTGTTCTTCATGACAGAGCAGGAAGAACAACTAAGATTAATATAGAAGGATGAGTGCATCACAATAAATCCAATTTATACGTAGGACAATAATATTGCTAGTTGACATTTATATTCACATAATACATTAAATCATCATCCATCAATCTATATGATTATATAATTGAAGGAAAGTTAAACAAAACAATCTTCTTGAAGTCATTCTTTATATGTTAAAAATGTCTCTGTCTCCAAATGCAAACAGGTTATTAATTAAGAATGAGTAATTTTCAAAAGTTAATCAACCATTACATAATAAAGAAAAGCTGCAATTAAGCAATTCTAAATGTATAGCATGTTTATCTGTGACTTAAAATAATATTTTTTTCTATTTATAATATCCATTTGTTTTATTATACATTAAATAGTAACGTGTTTTAAATGAATGTCAATTTATTCAAATAATAATACTCAAATAGGAGAAATGATACGTTGGAAAAATTTCTCATGGTATTGTGTGTGAAAAAGATTACAATCATACTCTAAAACTACTTCATGTTGTATATCATTCATTATCCTAAAATCCTCCAAAGATAATTTAATGATGATATACTGAAGAAATTCAAACTAACAATGCTACTCATCCTGATATTATTCAATATCTTCTAGAATCATAGGCATAAATGAACACACAAATCTTTTTTTTTCATTGACCCTTCCATGTCATCAGAAGGAATCTCAGTATTAAAAAAGTAATTCAAGAATAATCTGAAATATGTTCTTCCTAATATTAAAAATCATTAAATAAATAACTTTCAACTTCTGAAATAATTTATATGAAGTCTATATGAGAAAGTATAGAATAAAAAGAAAATTTTAAGTTTTACTTTGCAAGAGCATTTAATAGTTTAATTAAATATAAAAATTAATAACTTTCAAAATTTTTAAAAATTGATAAAATGTAATGTCTTTGATACAAAGATTTCAAGAGCAAAATAATGAATTTGTAAAAAAAAAATTTGTTAAACATTACCATGAAAAAAATCATTTTTTACAGTGACTGAGGGGGAGTTCAGAAAACCTGAATGCATATCAGTATTATTGATATAAGAAATATAATAAAAGGGTCATTGTTCTAAGCCTGAGGTATGTGATTGGTTTATAGTTTGACAAATAAAAGTTCCTGCTGTTGAAATAATTTAGAATATAAGAAGCCAATATCTAACTGACGAAAAGCAGAAAAAACTTTTATTTTAATCAATACTTCAAATAAGAATAATGAATATAAGTTGAACAGAATTATAAAAAATAAACTAAGTTTAATTAAATGAAAAAGTATTTATTAAATAATTGACAGAAAAATTTAAAACTTAGAATTTATTATAATAGGAAAATAATTTTAGTAAGATGTAACAAAATAAGATTATTGAAATAAGATTAAGATATATTGAAAGTATTAGTTCATAACATAGAAAATATGATAAAAAATTAAAGATGTTTATTATTTATTATACAGATATTCCAGTTCTATTAATTTTTAGTTAATAATATTTGATCCTGTAATAGTTATATCAAACAAGTCTTGTTGTTTGGATGAATTTTTTAATTAAAATAAAAAAAATTTTGAAAAAATGAAAAGAATCCTTATATAAACTGTAAAGAATACAATACCAATTGTTTCTCTAAAAATATCCCCAATCCTGTATTATAACTTGAAAAATATCCCATATTGTATTTGACACAGTGAACCATTTAGTTAACAATGTATTATAAATTATCTCCATAATATATATTAATAACACTTTCTATTGCATCCTGTTTTCTTTTAACATATCATTATCTGTTCCGTTTTAAAACAGGTAGAGATATTTAAATAAAAAAAATAATTTCAATAGATAGCATTAATGATATAAACAATGGAGATGGCACAGGAGATACTGGTAAGTGGGAGGTCCACTATATTGAATACAATATGTGATAACTTTGTTCTAACAAAATTATTTTAGAAAACACCTTTAGTTAATATGATAATGCTTTTTGTTAAAGATGCAACACTAACAATGGGATTTGTAAGAATTATAGATTGAATATCTGATTATCTATTTAAATACTTGTTAACTTTCTAAAAAGAAATAAAGTAATATATTTCATTTTAAATATAAAATTACCAGTTAACATAAAGCTACAGTGGTCACTGACTTACCCACTAACATAAAATGTTCAAATGAAAGCAGACATTTTATCAAAAAATAAATAGTCAGTAGAAAGAGGACCACCAGTAAGTTACCAGAAAAATATGAATTCTCAAAAATGTCAAATATTTTATGTTCTTCAAGATATCAAAGTTCAATATTTGTCAAATATAAGGCAAACAGGAATGTGACATAAGACTTAAGCACTATATTTATAATTAGTCAATCCTGAAAATGCATTGTATTATTTAATTTATTGAGTTTCCTATGAGATCTGATTAGTCCAAAACAACACTTGCCTTGTCAAACACCTTTATTTCATATATTGCTGTTGAATAGCCCTGTTCATAGACACATTTCAGGATCATTCATTCCATCTGGAATAAATGAATTGTACGGAATTTTACATTGTCCCTATCAGTTTTGACAAGACATCTTTGCAACTAAACAGTCATAAAACCATTCTAATATTAATAATCCACTTTATCTGCATATATATGTTTTTAAAAAAACTTAATTTTATTTTGTATCTTGTTATGTAACTTTGATTTACTGTGTGTTGATTCAGTATTGGGCAATATACAAAGAGAAATTATATAGAAATTAAGAGAAATATATTAGAGAAATATATTAAGAGAAATCTATTAGAATTGTAGATATTGCCTAATCATATATTGTATTAAAAAAATTAAAACACAATTTAACTAAACATGAAATTTTCATATAAACAGAATAAGAATTCTAACACAATATAAATTCAGTAAAACTTTTAGTGCATTCTTATCATATTTAAATAATTAATAAAGCATTTCAAAGGGATTGTTATTCAAATTTTTAAAAAATATATAAAATACATTAAAAAAAAATACAGTGTAACTGTAATTAAAGTACCCCTATTCATTCTATCTGAATAGATATCTAACAGTCCAAGTGCAACTAAATTGGTTAGTGACATTTCAGGACATGCAGAAGATATTCTGTAAAAAATATTACTGCTAAACTCACCAACTATGGCAATTTTGGTACTGCAAAAAAAAAAAAAAAAGTTTTATTGTGGGGCAAGTGAAAAGTGTATTTTATTAAGGATATGTTGCAAATTTGGCAGCTTTGAAAGACAGTATCATACTACACTTTGAGAAGAACTGTAGATAATCAATTATGGGTGACTGTTGAATACACTGTTCATAGCCTTCAGGCTTTACACCTTCAGAACATAAACCAAATTAAAGCAGTATCCTCTGTACTGAATGACTATTTTACATAAATAAAATGTTAACTTCTTACAATGTCAAAAATGCTGTATTATGTTTTGATACTAATTTTGTTTTTTACAGAATGTTCTGAAAGTCTTGAAATGGCCATTATACTACTATATTTGGTTGCATTTTGATTGCTAAACAGACAGCATTGAATAGCATTATTACTTTAATTACAATAACCCAATATATAAAGTACAGATTAAAATAGAAAGAAAACACTAAAAAAAACATAAAACTCAGCATTTAGATAATTCAAGTAACACTGAATGATTTGTGATCAAATGAAAGTAAAACTTATGAGAAGTACCACAAGGAGTTTGACAACAATGTGAACAGCCACACTTTTCTGACTCAAAACATTGGCAAATTTCTCATTACTTTTCATAAATTTTCCTTTTATTTGATCACTTTGTATAATTTTATAATGATATGAAAAACATATCTTAAAATAAATTTATTATTAATCATCATTAAAATTTTGTATCATCATCATTCATTACATACCCTTAATAATATCAAACTTTCAGGAAATACACATAAATCAGTTAGAGTGGCTTGATTATTTAATAATGGACGTCCATTTAGTGTTAAATGTTGATCATATGGTGCTACTGAAAATACTTTCATTATCTAAGAAAAATAACAAAAATAAATAAAAATATTTTCATACACTTTTTAACCTGCTACAATATTTACTTAACTTATAAAATCACACCTCTAATTTTAAATCTCTCAAAGTTTGATTGGAAGATACAATAATTTCTTTTTCTCCTCTCAACTTTCTGCGTCTGTTGCTTCTTCTTGGTTGCCAATCAGCAGTAACTGCTTCAGTCTCATTACCTGTTTTCTTCTTTTTAACATTCTGAATAAGTAAGACAATATTTTATAAATGTTATCATATTATAAGTCTTAAATTAATATCCTTTTTGATTTTGCTTACTTGTACAAACTCACTATCATTATTTCTATGATCATTATTATCTGGATTACAGTTATTATCCAAGAGTTCATTTATTTCTGCCTCTTCAAGTTTTGACACCCGCCGGACATAAATTTTTGCATTTGTAAAATCCAGTAACTGCTGCTGTTCTAACTGAAGTCTATTTGCATAACATGAATGACACAGTTCTAAAAATGTAATATAAGTATATTCATAAATTTAGACAGGTAATATTTTTCAATATAAATCAAATGTTTAAATAATAAAATTACCAGGAGTAGTTGCAAGAATGGAATTTCCATTAAGTTCTTCTTTTCGTTGTGCAGTTATTTCAACATCTATTCTAAAAAGCCTTTTTAGTATATTCCATTCATGTTCCCACAATAATTCCAACCTTCAAAAATAAAATAAAACATTGTACTGATTAATTAAAACCAAGAGTTCTAAAATTTAATTAAACTATTTAATTTTAAAAGATGTCTTTAAACTATCATTCTTCTCTTTCATTTTTCAGATCATAATAAATCTATATCTTATAGTAATTTTGAAATGTCTTCATAAAGTTCTTCAAAAATGTCTTCAAAATTAAATATTTTTCTTAATTTCTATTAAAAAACTGACTTTGAATTCAACTGTCAGTAATTAAAATCAAGTAATATATTTAAAACATTATCATTCATAATTATCCTTTTGATAAAATCCAAATATTTAGTTTTTATGAAAAATAAGGTATACATAGAACAAGGAATTTTATTTCCAACGTAGCTAACACTTAACAAGGAATATTTCATAAAGTTAGCATCCTTCGCTAAATGTTATTGCCATGTGTTAATTTAAATGTAAGACTCCCTATTCCATGAATAATAGCTCATTATAACCTTATCTTTTAAACAAACTAAACATCTGTTTAAAAATATTTGATTTGTTTAAGAGGCCTCAAAACACAAGACAATATAAAGTTTCAAAAATGTACTTCTTGCAAATAAACTGTTTGTACTATATTAAAATGAGCTATTTGTTCAAAATCTAAAGTCTAATATCAGTTATTTACTATAACATCCACAGATACAAAATGTACAAAATTTGAAAATTTTCAATCAAAATATACTTAATAAAATGCTTTAACAGAGTAAATATATGATTTTATTCACAGTATTGGTAAGTGCTTTCAAGCTACCATTCTTCTTTAGTGCAAATTTATGTTGTTCCAATCCTTCAAATAATACATTTAGTTGTTTGTCAAGCATAATATATATTTAATATATTATTATTCATATATGTAAACATTATATGAAATTTATATTAATTTAACTGATACTTGGGAACAACTACACTTGTGGCAATTGAATGGATATGCAGGTAGTGTGGTTTTGTAAAGTATCTGCATAGTATGACCACTATCTACTGCAGTGGTTCTCAACCCTAGGGGTACGAGTGTAAATCAAAGGGGTACTTCTAACTTTCATTATAAAATGGCATAAGTTAATCAATTTGCTGTAAATTATTAACACAAGAAACAAAACAAGAAACAACGAAAACTTGCTTTAAAATATCCCAGTGTGAACATCGATTTCCCTTTTAACAGTCTAAACAACTTGTTTATCCACTTGATTTGCCTGTCTATCTGTGCCATTAGTGCCAAGTGAACCTGTAGTCTAGTAAAATTATGGTTTAACCGAGCATTAATTTTAGAATAAAAACAATTTTTTTCTATTCTATAATTATTGCTCAATAAGATTGGGGCTTTTTGTGTTTTTACTGGACTACTGGTATTAGGAATAACGAGGCCTTGATCATACCCCCACCATGCAATGCGTATCACTGCATGCACGCATTAATTGATATTTAGCAAATTTAGACATTACATTTGTTACAAAAATTGAAAGATTCATGTATTGTTTTGCACATTATAAATTTGCAGCCATTAATTTCAAGGTCAGTATACAATTATAATCTCTATTTAACAAAGTGGGAACCAAATTTTGAAAAAATTGCTGAAGATTTATCACAACAAANTGGAAGAAAATCTTTCAAACAGCTGTAGTCCGTAAACTTGACACGTGTCGGGTTGTGATTGGAAGGATTCGTAAGAAATCGGATTCCTAGAGAATGAAACGTATCTCTATGTTATAGGGGGGTCGACTGTATAGTAACATACAAAATAGTTTGTCATCTTGATCATTTAATTGTTCTAATGTTGCTGTTGATGATAAATCTTTTCTAAAGTATCTAAAAATTGTTGGTCAATTGAATTTAATCATTTTTGGGGAATCCAACTTGCCTCCTCTTACCTGGTTCTATTGTAATATCAAAATTTTTATCTGACAATGTTTCCATTACATCATCACCAATATTAGTAGTCATTTCTTTATTAGTGACAAACCTTTTTAGACACTGCAACCTCTTGAAATAAACATAGATGTTTGTGTTTCTTGCCCCCAATCCCAATGGAAGATTTTTCTGCTTTTTCCGTTCTCTTGTATAGTTATCCCTTAAGCTTTTCCATTTTAGCCAGGGCTGTGGAGTCGGAGTCGGAGTCGTGGAGTTTTGGTGTTTTAGCCAGAGTCGGATCGGATGGTAAGGAAAAGTTGGAGTCAGAGTCGGAGTCAGTAGACTTTTACACGACACCGATTCCACAGCCCTGCCAGGGCTGTGGAATCGGTGTCGGAGTCGGAGTCATGGAGTTTTGGTGTTTTAGCTGGAGTCGGAGTCGGATGGTAAGGAAAAGTCGGAGTTGGTAGATTTTTACGCGACTCCACAGCCCTGATTTTAGCAGAAAATTTAAATCTAAAAAATGTATTATTAATTTTTAAAAAATCAGAAATATCTTTCAGAATTTATAATCCATATGTGTTTTGTTTTTTCCAGTTGTTTGACTTCAGTTGTTCTTTTCTGATTTAAACTATGGACATTGTCTTGAGAAGTCCCTTATCTCAAATATAATCCAGAAAGTGTTCATTATACTTTGTGATAAATTAAAGACAATTTACATGCCAGAAATGACTATAGAGAAATAGAAGGAAGTTGCAATGAGTTTTGAACAATTTTTCTGAGTTGCATTGGTGCAATCAATGGAAAACTCAAAATTACTTAAACCTATTGATACAGGATCTTTATTTTAACCTGCAATCACACACATAAGGTGGTAATTTTCTGCTGATTATGAGATTTTCATGCATAATTATGCTGCACATAATTGCCATTCCTAAAATTTGATAATTCTGAGAAATCTGTAATGGGATCTTAGGCACACTTCCTGGACATTAACATGACGATCGAAAGTGCAACCGTCCACACAGCCATTTACCGCAAACCGACCTCAGATAGTTTATACATACCAGCAGGGTCATGTGACCCTCCACAATACAAAGTCGCAGCGTTCAAAGCCTTGATCAGGAGGGCACATACGCACTTCTCGTCCCAAATGGCACTCTGGTCCGAAATGAAATGCATAGAGGATATAGCCAAACAGCACGGATACCACGGGCTAATATACAAACTAAACGCAAAAATGCAGCAGGAAGCAAACTGTCACCAACTCTCCGACGATACTCCTAGTAGCAACATCCCTATCACATACAATCCAGTACTTAAATCCTTATACAAGGAGATAGTTAAGAAAAAGAATATCCATATTACATTTAGAAGATGCGCTACAATTTTTGATTTGTTAAGGAATGGAAAGGACACCCCAGACTGAAATAAGCTCCCCGGCGTCTACACCATCCCTGTCATTGATCACAGGTGTGATAGAAACATGATCTACATAGGATCAACTAAACGCCCCTAATAACCCAGATCAAAGAGCATAAAGCAGATATCAACCATGAAAGAACCAACACAGCTCTTGCGATATACTCGTCAGACCCTGACATAGAACCCGCATTCTCGTAAGCAAAGGTCATTCATATCACCCCTACTGGTTCTTTACGAACAGGTTCTCTTTAAATTTTTTAAAAAATAAATTGAGTTTGTAGTAATTTCAAATAGATATTTATAAAAATATATGTATCCTACTTGATAAATTTCCTCCACTGTTCAACAAAGTTATGACAAACTATAAAAAATTTTTGTCCTAGATTTGACTTTTGCCAGTTTGGTCTATTGCGATCCAAGTATAGCTCCTGAAGAAGAGATTTCTGTTCAACAGCAAGGGAACGATACCGGTCACGAGTTTCTTTGTCTTCTGCTTCTTGAATCTTTGAAAAAAACACAGAATTAAATCATATTTAATAACGTTATAGCAACAGATCAAGTACAATGATTATCAAAGCATCAAAAAACACTGCAAAAAAACTGTCATTCAAATAAGTAATTTTGGGCACAAAATATAATATTTATATTTTAACTTTTATATCAACAAAATTATGATTTTACTTGATAATCAAAGTATTAAGTAAAATCAATATTGTGCCCCTTCAATCTTATATCATCATCATCTTTAAACCAATATGTTTTTTAAAATTAAAATTTAACTACAAGTAGAAATAGTCATTATTGGTATGTATTTAATACATATATAAATTTGTGCATATAATACCGTCACAAAAATTCTGTTATTTAGATTAGCATCATCACTATCTGTAAAGCACACCATTTTTGGTAACTTGTCACCTTCTCAGTCCACATTATGTTGAGTTTGCAGGACTCTACTGTATTTCAATTTTTGTCATTAAATAGATGTTTTCAGGCAAATATTTCATTTCCTTGTACAGTCGACCCCCCTATAATTACGGTCCCTATAATTACGATTCCTATAAAACTACGAAAAAATTGCTACCGGTATCCGTAAAAAATAGTAAAAGTTCCCTATAAACACCTCAAACGTCATCGGGCAGCCGAACTACTTTCCTGCCGTCCATAGCGCCACGCTACGGAGAGATTTCTATCGTCTGGACAGTATTATATAAATTATATATAAATTAGGTACTGTACATATAATTATATAT